TCTGAATGTATGCTGTTGTTGTGGGTGAGCCAAACAAACCGGGACCCACCCACTTGTACAACTGGCCCTTCCTTCATGACTGGGAGAACATATATTTTCCTAAGTTTTATTTTCAATTATTAAAATGAATTTATCATTCATTAATTTTGGAAGTCTTTAAAATGGAAAAGTTGACTTTCTCTTTGAGGATCCAAAAGAGCAAATTCTATCAAATCTGAAATGCACAGAACGAGCAAACACGAGCCAATCAGAGGCCATGGTTTACAGCTAAGGTCCGTAAACTGCAGAGGGCGTGGGACGCTGCCTTCAGATAAGGAGATGGAGAGGCTCTCAGATCATCAACAGCTGAGCTTTTCCGGCCCATCAGAAAAGCTAAATGCCAGTATGCACACATCTAAAATCACTTCTGAAAACAGTTTGCTTTGGTTGAGTAACTTAAATACCACCCACTGGCTTCACTTATAGACAAACACAAGCAGAGTCCAAATTTTAAAGTTCAGAATTTGTTTTTTTTTTTTTTTTAAAGATATTTTTTGGGACATTTTTTGCCTGTAATTGACAGGACAGTGAAGCGTGAAGGGGGCGAGAGAGAGGGAGAGACATGCAGCAAAGGGCCGCAGGCTGGACTCGAACCCGGGCCGCTGCGGCAACAGCCTTGTACATGGGGCACCTGCTCTACCACTAAGCCACCGACGCCCCTAAAGTTCAGAATTTGTATTGAAAATGAATATAGGCAGGGGGTTACAGCACAGGCAAAGGAATGATGTCATTGTCCACAGGTAACAGATGTAACTACTGATGATTGATGATGTGACTGACAAATGGTTTCTGAAAAACAATAGAAAAAAGGCGGATAAAGGAAAAGGCATTCATCATAAATATAGCCTTAATGGCACAAATACATGACATAAACATTTAACAGTTGTCACAATACAGTATTGAAAGGCTGGAAACAAGGTGCTAACAATGCATTAATAGTCGACAACTGCCACAATTAACATCTGTGATTCACTGATTTAACTAAACAAAGAACAAAGGAGACCAATTTTTGATGACTGCTAATGTTTCCTACACTGAGAAACATGAATAGTAACAAATCATAACACAAAGCGAGTGCCCTGCATCACAAACAAATGAATCAAATTAAGAAATGGTGACGTGGCACAAACCTGGCAGTGTGCCAGTTCGGCATATAGCTAACAGACAAACTGGATTCAAAGAAAATGATTAGCCTCCTCGTCCCCAAGGGCAAACAAGACAGTAAAGTGGACTCACATGGGCAATCACTCATCGACTCAGTCAATATGTTTGGACAACTGGATGAGATAGAATAATATGAATCACGGCCCTTGGACACTTCCTCCTTATACCTGGCTGTATTCAGTGCGCCCCCTGCGCATCCAGGAAGTTCATATTAAGTGCACCATGAACAGGAGCGTGCCATGAGACAGCTGCGGTCAGAGGAGACACAGGGAATTCTTCACAGCTTTTGCGATACTAAGGACACCAGGCACATGTGGCACTGCATTCAGGCCCTAATGGACTACAAAACAACTACACAGGTTGACAACAATGACATGGATCTCCCCAACGCATTAAATAGCCTCTCTGCACGATATGAAGCCCAAAATTACACAGCAAAATGCAAGAGCCTGCAACTGCCTGTAGAGCAGACATGACATCTGGACAGAGGCGACGTGAGGATGACACTATCCAGAGTCAACCCACATAAAGCTACAGGACCAGACAACCTACCAAGGTGTGTGCTCATAGGCTGCATTAACCAGTTGGCTCATGTCCTCCTATCTTTAACATCTCGCTGAGCCAGGCTGTCATGTCCGCAGGCCTCAAAAATTTCATGTTTCCATGATGACCGCCCTATCGCGCTCACTCCCATCATGATGAAGTGCTTTGAACAGTCATGGGACATATAAAATCTTCCCTCCCCACCTCGCTGGACCCTCTCCAATGTGAATACTGCACCAACCGCTCCACAGATGACTCCATTTCCTACATCCTGCATTCTGTACTGTCTCACCTGGACAACAAGAACACCTGCGCCAGAATGCTGTTTCTTGGTTTTAGCTCAGCATTCAACACAGTCATCATCCAGAGGCTGGCAGGTAAACTTCCCACACTGGGCATCAACAAATGCCTCTGTAATTGGATTTTGGACTTTCTGACAGAGAGATTGCAGTCAGTGCATATTGGCAACGGGACATTAGGCACCATCACGCTAAACACGGGCACCCCCCAAGGCTGTGTGCTCAGCCCACTGCTGTTCATGCTGCTAACTCATCACTGCTCTGCCTAACCTATCTCTCAATGTGGAAAAAAGAGATAGTGGTGGACCTCAGGAGGCATATGATCACTCTCCACTGTCCTTAAACGATTCAGCAGTGGAGAGGGTCAGGAGCACCGAGTTCCTGGGTGAGAACATCACCGACGACCTCAGCTGGTCTCTTGAAACAAACTGTGCAGCCAAAACACCTCCACTTCCTTCAAAGTCTGAAGAGAGCGAGCTTACCCCCACCTGTCCTGATTCTACAGAGGGACTGTGGAAAGTGTCCTGAACAGCTGCATCACAGCATGGTGTGGAAACAGCAACATGAGTAAGCAAAAGACCCTGCAACAATTTTTTAGAACTGTAGAGAGGATCATCGGGGTCTCTCCTAGAGGTGGTGCACACACAGAGCCTCTGCAATTGTTAAAGACCCCTCCCACCCCTCACACAGTCTGTTCCCCCCAGCCATCAGGCAGAAGGCTCTGCAGTATCAGAAGCCATTCCACAAGGTTCTGCAACAGCTTTTTACCCCAAGCTGTTAGATTTCTAAACACTCTGCTGCATCCACATCATGAGGACTCAAACACAGCATGGTCATTTACTGTGTGACCGCTCAGTGACTTTGCAGAGACTGAAAAACCTGTCCACTGCTTTTCACTGTTTATTATCCTGTCTGTGTGTTTTTAATATACTCTGAAACATATATTGTATCATTTTGCTGTTTTATCAGTTCATTATATGCAGTATTTATTCCTCTGCACTTACCTATTTTTATTCTTCTGAGTATTCGCAGTGCACTTTATTGCACTTTAATGTTGTCCTGTCCATGTTGAATGTTCTTTACTGCATCTGGATTCATGAGTACTGACATTTCATTCACTGTATGCTGCTGTATATCCTCCTGAGACCTCAGCTTCTGTTTGGTATGCATGTCTCCTAGCTATATGGGATCAGTAAGTAGTTTATAAGTATATAAAACTAAATGTGTTTAAACAGGAAGTAGCTGTGGAGAAAGAACAATTATGTTTTCATATGGGGACTATGTGTTTATCTTAATAGTCACAAGTGTGTAATAAAGTATAAAACTCGTCAACTGTTGTGCAAAAACTAAATTACAAATAAAGCAACAAATCTTTAAGTCTTGTGATTTGTTCATTGAGAAACTCTGCATGAATTTCCCTCGATCCATACTCCAAGCTGGGAATGTCCTGTCACACCTGATTGGTCCCAATGTCCTCAAACGAGATGATTATAAAAGCTTGCTAATTTTGTGTCGGGATCAGCTAGAGACTGACTTGGCAGAGATGGCTGCCATCTTGCTTTTACATAGATTAGCGTATTGTGCTCTTACTACCACTAGATGGCACAAAAAATTGCTCCCTCAGCTCTCATGTATACAGTTACGTTTATTTACAAAGTGTGTGACGGGCTGATGTATGTATGTTTTTTCTTAAACAAAAAACAATGAGAGAAAAATTTGAAAGGCAGGTAAAAGGACAACTGTTGCGTTAATTGTTTTAATTCTGCATAACACAGGTAATTATTATGGTAATTATCTTTCCCATATCTTTTGTTTTATAAGCCACAGAAAAAAATCTATCCAGTAGATAGATTTGCAGTCACCGTCTAATTTCATAGCTGTAAGAGGAACCGAAAACAGTTTAGGAAAGACAGAAGATTAAGCTCAAAAATTCCTGCCTGACTCAATAGCCTCTATATTGCCTTGAAAGCATGGACAGTTTGTGTTGAGACAAGCTTATGCGCTGCTCTGTCTTGTTTAAAGCCAATCTAGTTCACCCAGCAGTTCATTTCTCGCTTTCCCTGCAATCAACTTAAACAAATAATATTTCAGCCAGATCGTCCACGCAAGATGGTGTTTCCTTAAATAGAATGAATATATTTATCTATATGATAGATGGGACACCATGTTTCATTTACACACGATATGAGCAATATACTCACATGCATGGCTTGTAATGAAAACACACTGCGGCAGATGAATAGTGAGCTATCTCTGCAGTGAACATGTTTTAGAAAAAAAAAAAGATCTGAAAAGTGTCACAATCAAGCAGACGCCGTAGTCGCCTGCAACAGCATGACATCGGACATTTCCGTCTTGGCGAGACTACAAGATGAAAACCATCAACGGAAGGCAAACACAATTAACTTCTATAATTAAAAGGCCAACATTACTTTGGCCCATCAAAAATTGAAATCCTGGAGCTGTCCCTGTTTTGTATGCATCTATATTCTGTATATTCAGTATGTAAAATAAAAAGCCAAGCACAAAATCATGTTCAGAACTCCTGCAGTGTTTTTGTCTTCGTTTCTTGACATGAAAGCACGGTGCTCTCTGCGCTCATGCTGTATGTTATGTTATCTCCTCTTTTGATTGTAAGACTTCAGAGCAGATGAAGGTAGAGCTGAATGTAAGCATGTATGGTTCATCCCGGGTTTCTTCTCTTTTGCATTGAATGTTTGAATGGTTGCTGTCAGTCTGGTTGTCTCATATGTCTCCACATCACAGAGCAGAAGCCTTTCATGTAGGACCATATCTGCATTTGGTTTGATTTTATTCTCACATCTAAGAAATTATACTGTGGTTTCCTTTGATGAAAACTCTCGAAAGAAGACCTTATATATCAGACAGTCCTTGTCTGATATATCAGGTTCAATAGATGTATATGTTTTAAACTACAGCTCTCCTTCCCTACAGGTGCAGACGGGCTGATGGGCATCTACCTCTTCATGATCGGTGCATATGATCTGAAGTTCCGCGGCGAGTACAACCGGCACGCTCAGGCCTGGATGGACAGCAGTCAGTGTCAGGTCATCGGCTCTCTGGCCATGCTGTCCACTGAGGTATCCGTCCTTCTCCTCACATACCTCACTCTGGAGAAATACATCTGCATCGTCTACCCTTTTCAGTACTTGACGCCTGGCTGGCGACGAACTGTCACCATCCTTCTCGGGATATGGGTGTTCGGCTTTGTTGTTGCCCTTCTGCCACTGGCCTGCAAGGGGCTGTTTCGCAACTTCTATGGGACCAATGGAGTTTGCTTCCCGCTGCACTCCGAGCAGCCAGAGACGCTTTGGGCTCATGTTTACTCCATCGTCATTTTCCTGGGTGAGTATTTGTTCTTGTAATAATCCTTTGAGCTTTTTTGCTTGTGTTTACTTGTTGTTATTTTAGTCATTTACTCACGCTAATTGTAAAAGCACAGTCTCATTATTTAGTCTACTACTTACTTACTTATTTGTATTTATTTCAAGCACCAGCCTTCGAGTCTGAAAAAGTAAACCAATACTGATGTACCAGAAACTGCAGTTCCTCTAATGGCCACTTAAGCGTGGCTCCAAAAGTTAGTCAATCTCCAAAGACCCACATGTTAAAATTAAGACCCCAGGAACAGCGCCAGCCTTTGAAGCCAATTTTATCTAGTGGCCAAAAGTGGAATTACACCGTCTGCTACGTCATGCCATGGGGCCCAATAAGACTTTTTCCCATAGACTTAAATTGTCAAAGAGACATCTGTGGATACATTTTTTTGAGTGTCACAACCTCTGTGAAATGACTCGTTTCAATTTCAGGATTTGGTCCATTTGGTCCATTAACATTTCAAAAGTCTAGAAGAGCGGCACGATTAAACAGTTTAATCCCCATTCAAGTTAGCGGAGCGCTAGACCAGAAGTTGCTGTAACTGTCAGTATTTCAGTGTGTTTTCAGTTCAAGTTAATTGTAATGATTTGGTCACCTAAAAAGTATTGTTCAAAGTTTGGTTGTAACAAAAGACCGTCTAAGTAGTCAGATGTGCAGTTTTTTGGTAAGAGCACTTTGTTTTTATGGTTTTCAGCCTGTCTTTGCCAGCACAATTAGCATTAGCATTGTCACAGGTAACCATAGACTGTAATGCACTGTGCTAACCAAGCTAACAGCTAGCTTTAGGGTTAGCTCTTCCCTCCTGTTCAAATAAAGTCACTTCTGGCAAAAGCCAAATGCCAAACTCAAGGCTTCAGAATGGGAGTCTGCAAACCAATGAATGACATCAAAGTGGCTACATCCATCATTTTTATACAGTCTATGATTTACTTGCATGTTGATGCAAAGGTTTGTTATAACTGCACATCCACAGTGCAAATATGAGCTATCGCAGTTGCATGGCAATCCAGAAACTAACCAGATATCTCTCTGCAGGTCTGAACTTGGTGGCATTCCTCGTCATTGTCTTATCCTATGCAAGCATGTTCTATAACATCCAGAGAACAGGGACGCAGACCACTAAATACAGCAACCACATCAAGAAGGAAGTGACCATCGCCAAAAGGTTCTTCTCCATCGTCATCACCGACTCCCTTTGCTGGATCCCCATTTTCATCCTCAAGATCCTGTCGCTGATGCAGGTGGAGATTCCCGGTACAGTAGAAGCGCTATAACCATTCAAAGGAATACTGAAAATCTACATTTTGAGTATCAAACACGCCCCCTCAGCTGGGTAGTAATTTGGCTTTAAAAAGTTTGAAGCCTGCTCTTTTGTGCAGGAGCAGCAGCTGGAGTGTTCTTGAATTCGCAGCTGTTGGATTCAATGACAACCCAGATTTGCAGCAGGAAATAAGCATCAAAAGCCCAGTATGTTCTGAATAATTGCTGCTTTGCTAATAAATCACCAATTTTGCCACTGTCATCTGAACTTGGCATAGCTTGAATAGCATGACACAGAAGTAAAGGATATACTACACTATTCACTATATACTATCTATACTAGAGCCACCCTCTGAGCTGAAATGGACATGGATGCTCAAATGAGAGATTTTTAGTAGAGTGTTTCCTTAAGGGTGTTCTAGGCAGGAATTGCATGCATTGGTAATTGTTTGTAAACACTATTGAGAGGGAAAATAACCCCAGATTCGTTTTCTTTTGCCATATTTGTGTTTTTTGTGCTGTGATATGGATTTTTCGCAGCTTCCCCTTGGACGTGTGCTATTGACATTCTGGCACAACACAGCAAAATAAAAAGAAAACACAAGCAGAGAAAGCTGGGTCTCTGCAGATAAATACATCACCACACACTTCTAGTGGGTCACAAGTGATAATTAAGGTCCTGTCTACACATGTACAGATATATTTTTAGAAAGGATATTTTTCTCTGCATGTTGGCCTCTTGTCCACACGCACTAAAACCTAGGTTTGTTTCAAAATGCCTTCTTAGGTGCAGATTTTCAAATCTCCAGTTACTGTGTATCTGTTTGGATGTGTAAAACGAAGCGTTTGGGAGAGATGACATTGTCTTCTCAATTGGCGCATGCCCACATTTGGTTTGTGTGATGAGCATGAGGCAGAAACAACAGCAACAATGGCGGACTACCAATGTATTTACACTTTGTTAGCTCTGCTTGGTCTTGTGATTTCTCTACACTTTGATTTAGTATTACTGCATCACTTCATAAACAGGGGCGTCTTCTGAGCCCAGTGTTATTTGGTCCACCTCAGCGACGTCTGCATTAAAGTCCACCAGAAAATATGGTTTTAAATCACTGAGTCTGGCTGAGCCAGCAGGTTGTGGGACAATAGCAAGAGTGGGATTTTTATCCACGAGAAGTAGAAGTAAAACTTTCGCATGTCCAGAGCATCAGTCATAACTTTGAGTGAGCTCCTTCGTCCTTATATCAAGGGGGAATCAAAAAACAGCTGAAGTCATTTTGCGTTCTAGTGTGGACGGAGATATTTTGTAAAACAAAACAGAGGGCAATACTATTGTTGTCTATGTACATGTAAACAGGGCCTGAGAAGGATTACTTTTACATGAGTCTATACATGATTTCTTAGGAAAATCCTGCATATTATGTCTTTAAAGTACTGCATTGCCAATATGTCATTACATTTTAAAGTAGTGTTCCCAGTAGTTTTCAAAAGGTGTTTATCACTGTATAAAGAGCATTTAACTGTAGTCACCATAGTGCAGATTATACCCAAATGACCCATTAGTGTTGTGCAGAATCCATTACATACATAACCTGGTGAGCTGTGGCTTCCTAATTAGGTCCCCTGTTGAGATAAAGGGCTTTTTTTCATTTATTATATAAAAAAGTTTAATGAAAGAGTTTTATATTGAAGTATTTTCCCAGCTCTTAACCATGGCTGTACCGACCATTGAGATCACCGAGGTCAGGATCTCTGTATTTTTTACGAGGTGTATACCTAGAAATGACTTCACTTTCGTGTGGCAAAGATATTATGATGTTGAGTGTTTTTTTTACCTTGGTATTTACCTCAGTGTTTCCAAAACCCTGCATGCAGCCCTGCTCGTGACCACATTAAACAAACATGATAATCTTTAAACAGACTATATTCCAGCTTTGTTGTTTTACCTGTGTCTTCTGTCTTTTATCTCTCTGCAGGTACCATCAGCTCGTGGGTGGTGATATTTATTCTGCCCATCAACAGCGCCCTTAACCCGATCCTGTACACGCTGACCACACGGCCTTTCAAAGAGACCATTCTGCAGGTATGGGCTAACTACAGGCAGAGAAGGCCTCTGCTCAGCGGTCACCCAGCTCATCACCGGTCGCTCACCTGGCAGGAAATGTGGCCCCTGCAGGAGAACAGCCACGGCCCCACTGCGGGGCACCCGCTGGACACAACAGGCACGATAGCCAAGCTCACCCCTGTGGAAAATACCAACGAGGGATACAATGACATTAACAAGTGCACACAGCAAGCACAGAAGCAACATATCGTGCTGTCAGTGTGCTCAAAGAATCAAACAATGCCTCTCACACCCAGCCACACATGCACAAACAAATGATCTATATGGATCAGAATCACCTCAGCAGATTAAATGTAATTCAGACTTGTTTATCTCAGTAATTGATTATACACGTGTTAAAGGAACAGTCCTGATTTTCCGCTGTTTCTCCTTTGTGGTTCATCATTAGTATTCATCAGCGTTTTTGAAAATCCAGCTGTGTGCATGTCTTGCCCAAGCAGCAGCCATCAGCAATAGATGAAATCCCTTCATGTTGGCTCCAAAAATATATCTATCAATACAGAGCAGAAGCTATGCCCCATTTATGGTCGGGCTTTTGTTCCACCAGCTCAGTTTAATTTCTCACAGAGAGCTTCTTTGATCTCTCTTTCTGAAAGTTTAATAGGCTATATTGTCCATTTTGTCTGAGCTGAATAATTAATATTAAATATACTGGCAAGTAAAATTTGGACAACTTATCATCTCTAACAGTGATAAGACAGAAGAATTTGTTAGAACCCAATAACTTCAGCTGCCATCAAACATTTGCCTCAATGGCTCAAGGTCCAGATTCACCAAACCAACTTTAGAGAACAAGCAGCGATAAAGGCTCCCTGCTGTGTAGCCTGACATCACTGTGTCTCAGCCAAAAAAGTTGCACAAGAACACACTGCAGAGACTGCAGCTGATGGCCAACCAGCATGTACATTCTGCACCTGAGTGAGGGGGAATAACTCTCCACACCAACAGACGGCAATCGTCTGTAATCCTGGAAGACCATCTTGATGCTAGTTAGCAAGTTAGCACATAAACAACTAGGGATGCACAGAATATTCGGTAACCGAATATATTTGGCCGAATATTGCAAAAAAACACACATTCGGTATTCGGTGGAATAAGTTAAAAGCAAGGCCGAATAATAGCAGCGTGTTTTGATAACGCAATCAAACAGCGTGCCATGACGGGCCGAGTAAAATGTTGGCAGTGTGGCGATCCGCCCGTCACTGCACTTGCATTTGCGACTAAAAATAGTTTTGAGCGAGCAAAATAGGCTTAAATCATTCAGCACGCTGTGCGAGCAGCCTACAGATTTCAACCAGCAGCAGAAACGAAAGGCGAATCCCACCGATTGTGGGTTGAACGGGGGTCACAGACACAAACAGTAATGCATTCCTGTCAAATACAGCGGCCATCGGCGGAGAAGTCGGCTCCAATAATATCCTCTTCTTGGCGTCATGACTGCCCACAAGTACCTGAACAGCCGAGCCAGCAGAACACAGGTATGTGACGTGTCAGAGGAGAAACGAGCCTTTCACGGCCCACCAACCTCACCGCACTTTAGGGACTGTTCTTTACTTATGAAGGGACTGTCAGGGGAGGAGGGTGGCTGGTTGATTCTTATTTTATTTATTTATTTTATTTTGATCCCCCCTATGTTAATCACTTATTGATGCTGTTTTTGAAGTATGAATAAGTCAATAAGTAATTTATTCCACTGAAATATCATTGATGTATTATAGAAAAGTGATTTATCTTTTCATAAATGACAAAAGGCACATCTGCCTCATTTTCGCTGTGGTATCGTGATACTACTCAGAACCATGATATTTTCATTGGTATCATACCGTGGGATCCAATTTTGGTACCGTGACAACACTAATCTGGAGGGGGTTCATCTGCAAAAACTAATGAAAAACTAAACAACGATATTCGGTATTCGGTACTCGGTATTTGGCCAAGCGCTTAATATTATTCGGCTTCGGCTTCTGCCACAAATTTTCATTTCGGTGCATCCCTATTAACAACACAATCCAGTGTTGAAAGAACAAAACGTATCTACCAGGAAAACAACAGTACAAACCATCACAAAACATTTCTACTAAAGAGCGCGATGGCTCAAAAATAATCTTACCTCATGTAACAGGGTTGTTTTGGTCTCACTCCTTCTTGACTTTAGATTTTTGTTTACTTTCCTCACTTCCATTTCTCTTTTCGTGAGCTGAGCTGAACTGCCAGTCAGAGTGTTTTCATTCACCCACGGGCTCCAGTGTCGCGGATGCCAATTCAGCATGTTGAATCAGCCAAAAGAAAGCAAGGGGCAACAATGTGGGACACCCCGCACCAACGAACGCATAGACACTCACCAACGACCCAACTTTGACCGTCAGCTTGGTGTTTCATGGCCGTAAGACTCATTAAATATGATGTTATTGAATGCTAAGAAAATACTTTTCTTTGAAAACTGAAGTTTGACCAAAAATCTTATCTCAAGACTCTCTTACCAGCTTTTTACGGAGTTTTTAAGCACATCTTACTCTTCGTAATGGAGTTTGCTACACAGTGCTCAAAGAGTAATTTTATTTGTGTTAAAATGATAAGGTGTTCAAATTTTACTTGCCATATTGTAATCAATGAATGGTTTTATTTCAAACCAAAAATTAAAAATAATAATAATAAAAGCAAACAAGACAAACATTACAGTGTCCGAAAAGGAGTAGGTAGAAGTAAAACTTATATGTCCCTACCCCTTACATTTCTTCTTTTAACTCGTATATTAGGTTATTCAACAAACTCCCAAATTTATTTACAACTATTATACAACTATCCCCAGTCTATTTACCACCCAATTAAGATAGACAAGGTGGAAACTCTTCATCAGTGGCCTATGTTCCAAGAAGAATACAAAAGCCCAAGTAAGTAAGTACAGAAGTAGATGTGATTATTGTTTATGAATGGAGCAGAGAGGCCATTATCGTGGCATCATAATACCAGTAGCTGTAAATCTGTCCTTGCTGTTGTGGTAGCCAGTGACCCAATTAAAGTGCAACACAGTGATGCACTGATGACACTAATGCAAAATGATTACATGGGAGACACATTGCAAAAACACCACGACAACGAACTCTTATGTTCCAAAGATAAATATTTAGAATAATTGTAGATTTTGACTGTAAACATCAGAAATAGTAAATGCTAAGATAGGAAGCACACAAGTTTAAAAAATTACTGATTTTAGCTCTTAATGCTGCTTACAATTTATTTAAATTTAAACTAAAAGGAGCACAACTTGTATTTGTTTTTTATCTTTGCAGCAAGTTCATAGTAGTATTAGTAGTTTAAGCTCCGGCACCCGACTTACTGCAAAGAACATTTTTACATCAACTTAATTTAAGTTTCAGTATTTATCCAGTCTGCTGAGGAGAGATCCAATAACTTCTTTTTTATTCTGGTCTTTAGTCCATCAAGTGTTTTCTGTGTTACCTCTGCCACCAAAAATATTTTGTGGAAATACTGAATGTAATGTATGAGACGTGTCCTGTATGTTCAGCGAAGAATGTACTAAATCTGGGCAGGAGAAACTCCCCAGCTGGTCTGGGGGTTTGAACCTGGACTCAACCCCCCGCTACACCACACAACACATTTTATATGATCTGTACAGCGAAGACATCATAAACTCTTCTGTGCATACTTTGTTCAATGAACTACTGATTCCTGTGGAAACTGACCTTTTCAGACATTGTATATGTGTGAACATACAGCAAATATGTTGTAAGAAAATAAATGAGTTATAACAGTGGTATGTGAATACACTGTATGTGCCATTTGTGTTTACATTACATTTCCATACGTGCTAAAAAGACGAAGACGCCAGCAGTTTTCTTTGGATACACTGATAACGTCTGCAGTCTTACATTAAATATTGATGGGGAAATGTCTTTAAACATGTTTTTATTCAGTTTGTTGTATTGAATTGTGTCTTACGATATGTTTTGTATTTTTGTTTTACTTGAATTGTGGACAGTAAATATATCTATGCCCCACATCTGCTTGTTGACTTATTTATTACTGGGTTTATATTGGTTATTTATCTTCTGAGTTTGGGCATTGATATAGTCTGTGTCTTAGGCTCCTTGACAAATTAAAAAGTACTCAGTTCAAGTTTCAGTTTATTGTCAAATACATCTGAAAAAGTACAGGGCACTCAATATAATATAATATAATCAATATAATAAAATACTTAAAAACCCTTAAAAGCAACATATAATTAAGGGTGCATTCACGCCAGGATAGTCCAGAAAAATTTCACACCACCTTTTGGTTCGGTTCACTTTCACACTGCACATAATCAAGCGGACCAAACCACCTGGACAACGTCACGCAGTTACAACAGCTGCACGTTTAGGGGCAGTGTTGGCCAAAACGACCACTGACCAGGCAGAAAAAAAGCATGAGGAAGAAGAAAACCTGGCTCATCGATTGGCCAGGACCGAAAACGGAAATCCATCCCCTTCAGCCGGCTTGGTCATCACAAAAACACCAAACACCAAAATGCGATGCGCTCTACCTCACTTCCTCTCTTTGGTTCGCTGGATAGTCCATTTGCTTTTCCCACTGTAAGCAAACCGCACCAGTGAACTGAGACCCCCAGGTTTCAAGCGCACCAGGGTTCGTTCGTTTGGTCCACACCAGAGTTCGAATGAGCGTTCACACCACTCCAAATGAACCCAAATATCCGTGGAAGCGGACCAGGGTACGTTTAAAGTGGACCAAATAGCGCCAGTGTGAATGTGTCCTACAACAATGGCAGCATATAATAGAACATAAATAATCCACAGCATCTGCAGTCCTTAAGAGCTACTGTTCAGCAGTCTGACTGCCTGGGGGTAAAAACTATCTGAGGCAGGAGGTCTGAGCCCTGATGCTCTGCAGACGCTTTCCTGAGGGAAGACAAGAGAAAAGGTTGTGTGCTGGGTGACTACTACAACTTTGTAGTGACTACAAAGTGCTTCCTTCCTGCAGCAGGTGGTGCATACAGTATATCCTGTATCTGAGGTAATGGTGATCCCATGATTTTTGACACTGTTTTCAGTATCCTCATCAGGTGTTTATGATCCTGTGTTGTGATGTTGCCAAACCATACCAGTATGCATCAAGTCAAGATGCTTTTTCAGGTCAAGTACCACTACATAAAAATACTTATTTGAATCTGCATTCAAAATTAGTAAAGTGCGTCTTCTGCGTTATGGCTGCACTGCCTCAGTACTTTGGCTGTATGTGTTCTGTGCTGCTGTCCCTTTTCCCTCCATTGTAAATCTGCCCAGGTGTGCTGCATTGCTTAACGAGGTGCAGTGCACCTGGCATGGAGGAAGTGCTTAGCAGAGGAGAGGCCTGTGGTGTCCTGCCTCTCGGCCTGGGATGTAGGTGTTTTAAAGGTGTCTTATTTTGGGTCAGTGGTGGAGTTTTGTTCGCCCCACAGGGCCGCCTAAGGGTGGGGTCTAACATTCTGCTATCATGTAGGTGCACAGGTTTGCAGCAACCTAAACATTTCCAATAAAGTTGGTGGAAGGATAGTGAAAGACAGTGCACTATTGGATGAAACAAATTCAGTGATAGTGATTACAGATCAGAAATATAACGAAACGAACAGTTAGAGCAAATTAACTGTAAAAATTAATCAGTACGTAACAAGAAAGTATTACCAGTGAAAGACTTAAGTTGTAAGAAATGGTAAGTAGCCTACAGCTGTAGTTGGAAATCGCATCAGCCCTCAGCCAAATGCTGGTAACCTAAAGTTTTCAGTTTGCTTTATTTATTTTTTCTTTGTAATTTGTTCATGTCTATCAATTTTGTGTTATTGCTGAATGCTTAGTTGCAATTTTATCTTTATTTTTATTCATAATTGTTGTTTAAGAAGGGAGGTATCTCCATTTTTTGGTTTCCAACCTCTCCCTTCTAATTTTTTAAAATATTTTTTTGTCTTGACTTTTCTATACATACATGTGTGCGCAAATAAATAAACTAAACAACCGGTCAACAGTAT